AAGGAGGGAAGGGAGAGAGGGTAGGAAGAAGGAAGGAAGGCAGTGAGGGAGGGAAGGAAGAAGGAATGTGAATGGTCCTAAGCAAAGCCAGAAGCTCCACAAATGCCTCTCAGCTCCAGGGTTGGGATGGGCTCTTGCTAAGTACTTTGCACGCTTCATCCATTTCACCCTCAGCCTTCCTGTGAGGTGGGGAGACTCATGTTCCCATTTGCAAATGAAGGAACTGAGGCTGAAAGAAGTGAGGTCATTTCTAAGGTCATCCAGTGAGAAAGTGCTGCCACTACTTGCAGATCAGGATCTGTCAGGCTGTGCTGACCAGGCTGTACCACTGCACAATCACATTCACTAAAGCAGAAGGGAATCCACTCAACAGCAAAGCCTTTCCTTGTATGCAGAGACCCAGATGTAAATCTTTTCTCACTGTGACTCTAGAAATCCCACTTGTTCTCTTTTGGGATTGGTTTCTCATTCTGATTGTTAGCAACATTCCCACATACTCTTTCCCTGTTCACCTAGTACACAATACTTTTACTAAATTCTAGGGTTTTTAAAAGGAAGCTCTCTGTTGCCTTAGTAATAGCAGAGGAGTTTGCATTTGTTTATTGCATATTAAAAATGAGTCTCCATCCCTGTGAGAGCCCTGGAACTTGTCTGAGATGAGATGTCATCATGTACTCTGTGGAATTACTGTGAATATATTTTCATTCAATACAATATGCCATGGTTTAAGTTGTGAACCTGCCAAATTAACATACTGCCACATTCTGTTGTTCAAAATTCTCTCTTTTCATCTGTCTAGCCTGTTTCGTAAAGCTACCAAACACATTATGGGCACACTAAATAATAAATCCTCAAAGCATCCCCTGCAGGTAGACAGAAATGGAAAGGAGAAAAATATTGCTATCCCAAATGTTACATATGAGAAAATGGAAACAGATAAGATTACCTAAAATTGACTGATGCTTTAAGTGAGCTAGAGATGGAGGTAAGACTATAATTTAGTTACTTCTCGATATAGTGCTCTCTCTCAATTCCTTTTTTATTAACTATATTGTGAAACTAAAGTAATTGCATTTTCTGTTTTGCCTTTTCTTTCATGTGAACAGTGTACTCTCAGAGAGCTTTGGAAGGCTCATTGTGGGCTGCATTAGCTTGATAGCCTCCATTTCTGGCTGTGTTAGTGCCAGGACCCTGTAATAGCAGACAACAGCAATTTCAATGGGTAGAATGTGCTTCTCTCTGTGTTTGCACCAAACAACAGCATGTTGTGCTTATTCACTTTCTATAAAATATAGTGTTATGCAAATTCTTGTGTATGCATCACCAGGATCACAAAATAGATTTCAGATAAATGAAAACCTGCTGTGTATTCTCTCCAGTCCTGTTTTCTTCCCTTGCATTATGGGCAATTATTATGCCACATTTAGTGTTTTCTGCTTCCCTGGATATACCTTTACTGTATATGTCTACAGTCAAAAAATGTGTAATATTTTTCATTTTGAACTTTGTATATATGTTTCCTTCTCTAACTTGCTTTTTCCCCCTACTGTGGTATTTTTTAAATGCATTCCTATCAGTTGGCACACGCAGCTCTAGTCTCTTCATTTTAAATCTCCCCTAATTTAACTAGTCATCCTCTTATAAACTGCCTCCAGTTTTCCATTAGTATAAACAGTTTGCACAAGTGTTCTTCTGTATGTCACTTTGAACATATATGCAAGATTAACTCTGAGGCATACATTCCCAGGAATGTAATTGCTTACTTAGCAAGGATCCACATCTTCAACTTTCCTGCTCCTGTTAGCAGGTTGTATAAATTCCCATTACTCCTCCATCCTTGTCAACATTTGATATCATCAGGCTTCTTATCTTTGTCAGTCATATGGCTGCAAAATTATTTCCCATAGTTCCTATAATTACAGGTCCCTGATGGTGAGGTTGAAGATCTTTTCATATGATTTCCGGGCAATTCGAACTCCTGTTTTGTGAATTATCTAGTCGCATCTTTTGTTCATTTTCTTTCTATTGGACTATTTGCATTTTTAAAAATAAGTCTGTAAACATTCTTCATATTTCTGGCAATAAGTTATTGGCCATTGACATATATTATGTGTACTCCCAAAATACAGTGTGCTGTTCCCACTTTCTTTATTCTGACTTGGTACACAGGAGTTATTTTTAGCCAGCCCAGGCTGGCCCCAAACTAGTGATCCTCCTGCCTCAGCCTCCCATGTGCTAGGATTGATTATAAGCATGTACCATCAGCCTGGTCTGGGAGTTTTTATTTTTAATGTGACCAAATTTGTCTACCTTTTTTTGTTCTGATTTGTACTTTTTATATTTTATATAAGAAATCCTTCCCTGCCTAAAGTCATAGGATTGCGTCCCCTTATATTTTCTCCCAAACACATGAAAGTTTTACGTTTTAGATTTGGGTCTATAATCCATTTGGAACTTTTGTGTACATGGTGTGAAGCTACTAATTTCCTGTATTTAAATTTTTTTTATATTTACCTCTCTTCTTAGTTTTAATGATGAATATGTATTGTTCTTATAATGACTAAAAATGTTGAAAGTTCAATTGGATGAAGAAAATTCCTGTCCTACTTGCACAATGTGTTTAATTAGTCTGAGCTCATCTTGCCTATTATTTTGACTTTCCAAAATCTTATGTGAGTGGTGGATAGGCCTGATTATAAGCTTTGATTTTTGGCTATCTTTTAAAGCATTTGCCAAATGAAATCATCCTGGTGTTTGTATTTGCTTTATCACCCTTCTGTGATATCTATAGGCAGTCTTGGAGACAAAGGACCCATTCTGTATCTCCTTCCTTGGCACACTCTGCACCATTTATGAACATTAAATGACGAAGGATAAGGACTTTTTTTCCTTTACTCAAATATCCCTGCCATTGTCTGAGTTCTCTAGACTAAATTACGTGGAAAAAAATCTAAAGTCATTTTGAAAGTTTGTGACTTTGCCTAGATTCTAAATTATAGAGGTCAACAAATTTTTTCTGTAAAAAAACAGATAGTAAAGGCTTTATTGGGTATTTGATTTTTGTAACAATTACCCATCTCTACCATTGTCATTCAGAATCAGTCATAGGTGATATGTAAAGAAATAAGCATAGCAACATGCCAATAAAACCTTATTTACAAAAACGAAAGAGTGACCAGAATTTCAGCAAACTCCCTGTATTTTACCTTTGTCTACCAGAAATATTCTGTAACTAAGGGATTTCTTACCAACCATGAGTTTCAGAGCCTCTTTCTATCACCAGAGATCTTAGTAGGTTTTTGATGTTTGCAAAGATAATAATTATGCACACATTCTAAGCCCACTAAGGGTCCAAATGGAAGCCTAGTATTACTAAGTCACCTGTTAATCCTTTTCTAAGATTAGAGCTGTTATGAGCTATAACCTTACTTGGTCCAGGCTCATATCTATCCCTGTCATCTCCCTGTGTTCTAGGCCTTCACAGTTGTAGAAGATATCCAAGTTCATAAGCCATTCAGTCAGCATTTTATTTCATATGGCTATTGGTACCACAGATCTGAATTGTATTTTATCATTTAATTCCTTTGACAAGCAAATATAGGTGTGAAAATTATCCAAAGAGTGAAAATAAGATGTATTTTTGTGGTCTTTTAGTCACTTTTTCACACCTTGTCTCAGTTTACCTGTGGACCATGTGGAAATTATACTACCTTTTTTGTATCAAAGATTCATACATAGGGGGGCAGCATAGGAAGAATTGATATCTTCCCTTGTAAATTTTGTACTTAAAATTTTTCCATTAAAGAAAAGTTTCTAATACTGTTAGCACATATTTTGGAGAATAAAATTTGAGATGTTTGTTGACTTGTTTTCTGAACAATTTATAGGGAAACCTATTTTATATGAGAGATTTTTATCCTAATAAGCTGTAAGAATATTTTTTCACTGCCACCTTTTTATTTATAATTTTTTAATTAGCATTTTTCTGTCATAAAAGTAATATAGTTTTATAGGAGAAAATTTGGAAAATTTAGAAAGATATATATTAAAAAATCAGAATCCAAATGCTTAGTGATAACTATTGCTCACATTTTAGTGATCTCCTTTTGAAGTATCTCAATGCTTTCTAAGAGATGAGCTATAAAATTTCACACGTAGGCTATAAAATACTTTGTATATCATATCTTTTAACTAAGGAATGTAAATGGGTATATTGAGTTGATAAATAAAGATCAACATTGATTTTAATGGCTATATGGCATTCCAGAGTACAGATGTACTTACTGTAACCTGGTTGGACAGTTCTCTAATGGTGAATTTTAAGTGCTCTGTACTTTTCCATTGTTATAGAAAATGCTAAGGTAAACATTCTAGGATGCCTCCTGTTGTCCTGCCAGACAACAGACCTTATCTTTTTAAGGTAAATCCCTAGAAGCGATGTTAGTAGAATTACATGTGTGTAAATGTACATATATAGGTATAACTTTGATACTGGGAACTTCATGCCCATATTGTATATCCCAACAGTTAATGAGAAGTGCTTTATGTCCTCACCAATACTGGAAATTTTCTGTAATTTTTCAACAGATTAGTTACAGTTACTCTATCCTTTAGAGTTATTATATGGTTGCTTTGTACAGTATTTTTATGACTGTTAAACCAGCACCTTCATAGCACTTACTATGTGTCAGAGACTTTATTAGGTGTTTTTATAAATATTAACTAACTTATTCTTCGTAATAACAGCGGGTACTGTTATCATCCTTAAGTTGCAGGTGAGGAAACTGTTGCATGACTTGAAGGTCACACATGTAACAAGTGAGAACCAGCACTTCAATATTCCTGGCGATGGCCATATCCATTCTCTTGAACACCAAGTCCTGCTGCCTCCTGGAGGAAAAGCTTAGCTGGCAGGAAACAAGCCTGGATGACCAGGACACCTATATTTTCAATATATTCTATTTTAACTATTTTTAAAATAATCCCTTTTATTTTATTAGGGTGTATCAAGGTCAGAAGAAATCAAAAGAAGCTTTGCCCCACTTTCAAGAGGCTTTGAAATATACTGAGATCAGCAAAGGTGGAAAAAGTCTTGAATGTGTACCAGTGTTGAGGGAATTAGCAGGCGCAGAGCAAGCCCTGGGATTCCACAATGCAGCCATCAGTCATTTCTCTCAGGTAAGGTGCAACATATGGGCCACCAAAACTATGCTAGACCTAATGCTTTTCACAAATGTAAGTGGTACAGCAGCTCTGACAGTGCCTGGCTATGTCATTTATGAGAGAGAGAGAGAGAGAGAGAGAGAAGAGAGGTTGAGAGAGATGCTTTGGGAGCTAGCAAGCCTGAAGTCCATAGCTAACAAGCTAAAAACTTGGACAAGAGTTGTCTGTTGCAGTCCTGAAGCAGAATTTCTTCTTCTCCAGGAAGTCTCAGGTGTTTCACGCTTTAGGTCACTGACTGAGTGAATGATGTCTGCTCATATAACCGAGAGAAATGTCCTTTACTAAAAACCAGTTGATTGTACATGTTAGTCATATCTACAAAATAGTCACGGCAACATCTAGACTGGTGTTTGACCAGACAAATGGGCACCAGAGCCTTGGCCAGTTGACACATAAAACTAATCATCACAGGAAGTTTGATGTCTTTGTATCATATCATCTGCTAAAAGCATTTTTTAAAGTTTTTCTGAGAATTTAAAATATAGACTAACCTATTCCTGTTATTTCAAATGAGGTATAATGCCATAGTACTAAGAATTCGTTATTGCTGTGTCTTTTAAAATTTGTCTGACGATTTATACTCCCACTCACATTGTGTTAGAGCACGCCATTCCTGCACTTATCTGGATCATTTCTTTTAATCATTATTACCATTATTTCCAACTTACAGATAAGGAAGACGAGAATTAGAAAGGTTGAGTGATATGCCCAGAAGGACATACTCAAATAAATGGCATAGCCCAGATTCAAAACTAGTACTTTTTGCAAGATTCTCCCATCTGATATGTAGAGAAGGGATCAGCGAGGCTGTGTTAAGAGTAGAAACGGAGGGACTAGTTGGGAGGCTCCTGGACTAGCAAAAGTGGCTTGAAGTAGACTGAAGATACATGGAATGAAAAGTAGATAAATACAACTGAGAGGATGTGTGTTCCTCCATTTACACTGGAGCAACACAGTTACTGGGTGATGCAGAAGGTGAGCTCCAACTCAGATGGTGAAACTGACAAGTGGAAGTGACAGCCAGGCAGTTAAAGAATTGGGATTGCAGCTCAGGAATACATCCACTTAGATACAATGATTGGCCTGGGAGTGGATGGCGTGGAAGAAGGAGAAAGGAGGGAGGGATAAGAGAAGACTTCTGACTGATGACAGAATCTTCAGGAATTTTGATATTTGTTGTTCAAGCAAAGAAGAAAAGAAGAATTTGCCAGAAAAACAGGAGGAAAAGAAAAAAATGAAAGAGATGCCCTCTGTGTCACTTCTTTTGCTAACTTTTAGTATTATGGAAACATGGATTTGTCATTAGGGTAAATGAGTTACTGTTTGTAAAGTGTTTAGCACAGTGCTGATTGATAGGGCTGCGTAAGGGTTTTTAAGAACTTTTTTCCATTCTTTTCTGGTTTTTTTTTCCTTTTCTTTTCTTCATTGATCATTGGGGCAATGATGAGGACAGAAAGCAGATTGTACAGCATGAGATTTGAAGAAGTAAAGCTAATAAGTATATATTAATGCTGCTGCAACATTTGTGCACAAGTTTTTATATAGTCATACATTTCATTTCTCTTGGGTCTGAAATTAGGATTGATTGCCGAGTTAGTAACTCTGTATCTGCCAAGCTGTTTTCTAAAGTGGTCTCACTATTTTATAATCCCACTTGTAATGCATGATGGTTCCAACTTCTCCACACCTTATTATCTGTCTTTTTTATTGCAGATGTCCTAGTGAGTGTAAAGTGCTATGTTTCACTGTGTTTTTTTAAATTTGTGTAATGACTAAAGGTGCTATGCATCTTTTTATGTGTTTATTGGCCATTCATATATCTTCTTTGGGCAAATGTTGATTAACTCTTTTGCCCATCTTTAATAGGGTAATTTGTCTTTTTATTATTCACTTATGAGTTCTTTATACAACCTGGATGCTAAATATTAGAAGCTTATCAGATATATGATTTGTGAATGTTTCCTTCCATTCAGTGGACCATCTTTTCACTTTCTTGACAGTGTCATTTGAAGCATAAAAGTTTTTCATCTTGATTAAGTCAATTTGTCTATTTTTTTTTCCATTTTTGTTTGTGTTTTCATTTTGTTAAAAATCTGCTGCCTAATCTGTGTTCATAAAGGCTTGCATCTATGTTTTCTTGTAAGAGTTTCATAGTTATTAGTTCTTACACTTAAAGTCTTTGAGCCATTTAAGTTAATTTTTGTGTGTGGTATGACATGGGGGCTCAATTTCAGTTTTTGCATGTGACTATGTAGTTGCCCTAGCACCATTTGTTGAAAAAGACTCTTTTCATCATTGAACGTTCTTTCTAACCTTGTCAAAATTCATTGACCATGAATGTAAGGGCTTATTTCTAGACTCTCAATTCCATTCCATTAATCTGTATGTCTGTCCTTCTGCCAGCATCTTGTTGTCTCAATTACTATCCTGTGTTAAATTTTTAAATCAGTAATTCTGAATCCTCTTACTTTGTTCTTCTTTTCAAGATTATTTTGATTATTCTGGATCCCCTGCATTTTCTTATGAATTTTAGGATCAGCTTGTCAATTTCTGCCACCCCCCACCCCCAAACAAAACAAAACAAAAATACCTGAGATTTTCATAGACATTGCATTGAATCTGTATTTCAATTTGGGAAGTATTTCTATCTTAACAATATTAACTCTTTCAATCCATGAACATAGGATATCTTTCCATTTATTTATGTCTTCGGTTCTTTCCTTCAACCATATTTTGTAGTTTTTAGAGTTGAAGTTTTGCACTTATTTGATAAATTCATTCTTAAGTATGTGTTCCTTTTGATGCTGTTATAAATAGAAGTGTTTTCTTAATTTCCTTTCCTGAGTTTTCATGGTTAGTTATAGAAGACAAAATTTTTTATGCTCATTTTGTATCTTGCAACTTTTCTGGACTTGTTTATTCGCGCTTTTTCTTTTCAATGCGATTTTCTTTAAATGTCTTCAAATTTTCAATCTTTCCTTCTATTTCCCTGTATGTAGGTTATAAAGGAATTCACTCATTTTTATAGTGCTCATAAGGTTTAATGAGTGACTCTTATTTTTATTTATTCTTGAGGTTAATAAAGATTAGACTGTGTTTTAAATAAATAAATCTAGACCATTATTAAAGAGATTGGTTATCAAAGTGAAAATAGCATTGGATTTGAAGTCATAAAATCTGAGTTACAGCCCATACTTTCTATTCACCAGCTATTTGATTCCAGGCAAATCATTTAGCCCTTTCAGAGAAAACAACAACAACAAAAAACCCTACCAAGCATTGTATCCACCTCACAGAACTGCTAAGTTTCAAAGTGGTTAAGTGCTTTGTGAACTATTAGGCCTGCTGCCAGTGTAAGCTGCTTTTACTTATTAATGGTAACTATTAAACATTTATCAGTGTCCCCCTTTTCTTTAGGAGATTTATCTAAGTTACAGAAAAGTATCTTAGGTGGTCACAGCTGTCCAAGAGAACCCATGTCTAAAAGCCACTTATTAAGTATACACAAAGAGGTTTTGTTATCTTCCCATTGTTTTTCACTCTTCATTCCTTTGGAGTGAGAGAAACCCCCAGAGAGAAAAGACCTTTTATTTCCTGTAAAATGTAGAAAAAGTTGTACAATATTTAGAAATGAGTCCATTAAAATGGAGAAAAAGAAACCAAGTCCTGCAGAGCTACCACAGAAGGAAGGCAGCAGTCCCAGGAACTGATGAAAGAGCTGTCTCCACCCATCTGTCATCTGCAGCAGGGGTCCATGAGAAAACCAGGCAAACGTGGTTGTTTCTGAAACTCCTCATTGGTAGACTTTGGCAATAAAACCTATTTCCCTATCCAAAAGAAAAAAACCTCACAGATTTCATTTATGTGAGTGGTATGTGTTTCCAAGGGGTATAAATTGGCATTGAACAAGCTTGGATTGCTTTTTCACATTTGAACTTGAATTACATATTTCTCTCTTCAATTTTCAGGGCAGCTCTGCTTCTCAGTAGTTCCCAAATTTAGGGAATTTGCAAAGTATTATGAAATCATCGAGTTTATCAGTTACTCTATAAAGGGCTTTAGGGTCAGAAAAGCTAACTTAGCATCCCAGCTCTGACATTGGTCAGGCCTAGGGTGATGACTGCTTGATTGATCACACATGGCTCCTGTCAGTGCAGAGTACTCTAACTGCTTCTAACTGGTTCTCATTGTTTGCTGTATATTTTCTATAATATATATTTCATGTATTATAAATAATCAAATGCTATTTTGAAATTTTTTTGAAAGTACCTGTCTCTTGTTTAAAATTAGGAAAGTTGCAGAATACAATTATAATTTTATTTATTATAAAAATCTTTTTTAAGAATGACATAAACCTAGGTGCCATAAAGTGGAAGATTACTGTTTCTTTTTAAGAAACAACTACCTTCTATAAAAATGATATATGCTCTTTATTTTTTTAAGAAAAAAATTAATTCCTACAGAAAAATACAAAAAGATGAACCACAAGTCACCCCAGTCCTCCCTGCCCAGAACTAACCAGTGTTGACATTGGTTGAATGTCTTTCCTTTGCTTATGTACAGATGGGTGTAGATTAGGAGGCAGAGTGAAGAGGAGAAAAAAAGAAGGAAGGAAGGGTGATAAATCTGACAGTATGTGAATGAAAGACTATTCTGTGACAATGTACAAAGTCAAAAAAATGGCAAAGGGGAAAATAGTTCTTATAAAATTTAGATGAAAAAGAAAACTCAATTAAAAAAACACGTACTAAAGGTGGAACAAACTAAAGAGGAAACAAATGGCCAATAACCATATAAAAACAAAATAATCCTCAACTTCAGTTGTTACTAAAGAAATGGCAATTTAGCTGTCTGCCCATTGTGGCTGGAGGCCAGAGTGGATCATGGGAAATGAAGCTGGGGGCAAGGGGAATGGGGCTAGGCTATGATCATGAATGTGTGTGTGTGTGTGTGTG